TAGTTCAGTAAAAGTCTGGACAATATTCTATCTCAAAATACAGTATCTAAACACTTTTTTAAGATACTTAATATTTAGCATAGAGTTAAATTTATTTAAGTGCTGGTAAAAAAGTGTCACTAAGGTTAAAAGCCCATGTTAGTGTTGGATAAGCTCATGTATACAGTGGCTGCATTCGGATTTGTTGTTGAGGCTGATGTGAATCTAAAGTGGGTCCAGCTAAACAAACAACTTTCTCAGCACGGAGAGAGACAGTGTCAAACTACCATTACACCACTCACATACACATTTATCATGGGAATCAGTGATGTAGTCACAGTTTTGACATGACAGCTGTGGTTTCACTGTCATGTTCAATGTTAAGAATTAATGGTTAGGAAGGTATTTATTTCAGTTTCTTCTTTTTAAGTACCTATGGATATTAATAAAAGATTAATGCTTTGAGTCTGTGTACTTAATGATGTGATTATCATACAAACTAAGATTTGGAAGTGTTTTTCCCACACTTAGAAGAATCTTGTGTTGGAAATGACATGAATTATAATAAGGAGGATTTTGCGCATTTGGAAAGACAGACAACTTGAAAGGTAAGTTGATTTTTAGGCCAGGGTTTCTGCACCTGAATGGGCTGCTCAGAAAGCTGTCTTAAACTTGTTTTGTTTCTCGTCTCTGTCTGTGTAACCTCCTCTCATTTCAATTCAAGCCCATACAGTGCGCTTTATTGGCACAAACGTATCCATCTAAAAACATCAAGATTTTCACATTAAACACCAGTCTTCTTTTTCAATCTGCGTGTGTGCATCAGTTTCAGAGCCAGGCGAATTGATTTTTTTTATATCATCTTCATATTAACATCATTCGTATTGCAGACCCTCCACCACACATGGAGTATTAGTAGTCTATGCAGAAGTAATTAATCTCACAAACGTACACACACGTGTCCTCCCTCTTAAAATACACAAAAGCTCTCCATCACTGCCTCTCTCAAACACACACAGATACACACACACACTCAGGCTGTGTATCTGCCGGTGACAGGCAGACAGTGCGGCGCTCAGAAGAATAAAACAGAGAAAAACATCTGGTAGGAACAGCTCAGCCTGACACACACACACACACACACACACACACATATCTGCCTCCTTCCCTTCCGTTCATAAAGACCCATAAAGGGCAAAATCCATAAGGGGCACCACTAATCTGGTTAGTGACTGGGAAGAAATGAGAGAGAAAAGAAGAGAGAAGAGGAGGATGGATATGGGGGGTGGGGGGTGGGGGGCAGACTAAAGAGACAGAGTCAGAGAGAGAAGAAGGCAGACAGAATGACAGAAAGGTGAGTATGTGGGAGCAATAATTCAGTTAACTGTGATAGGTCAACCAAACCGCCTATCCATCAACTACACCAATCAGATTATAGTATCGACATTCTACCATACAGCGGACAATGTTTCCATTCGACATGACCTTCTGTGTATATGTATGTGTGTGTGTGTGTGTAGCAAGAGAGGATTAGCCTTTAAGCTGTTTTGGAGGAAAAAAACCCACAGACACATCATAGTCTAGTGTGTGTGTATATATGAGTGTGTCTATTCATGCAGTTTTCAATTGATCAAGAAGAAAAGAAAAAATACCCCTAACAAAGAATGTACCAAATACTCAATAGGGCTGTGATTTGTCTGATGGATATTGCAATATTATTTGTGATTAGTGGAATCATAACTATTAAAATCAAGATGATGTGACATTTGTTAGTCTGTGCCGAACAAAACATGGTATTGCATTTTGTCATATTGCGATTTCAATTAATTGTGCAGCCCTACTTCTCAACCATGTAAACACAAAACAGCACGAGTACCACAAAGAAAACCTTCTTTATTTAACATGTACACAGCAAAAACATATGCAGTCAAGACATTTTGATTTAATCTTAATATGAAATTCCAAAATGCTGCAAATCTGAACTCCTCACAGTCAGTGTAAGTGGTAAACAGAAGGACACTGCCCCAGAATCTTTTAGAAAACTTTTTCCTGCTTAGACAGACTATAGAGTAACACATCCGGCCAACATCCGGTAATGATTTATTCAGATGCAGCAACCACAATGAGCCTAAGTACAAGGGTCTGGAGTTGTGCACATTGCAAGTGTGCGTCTTACTAGCAGGCTAATGATGTGTCTGTGGTAAAGGAAAAGGAAAGACCAATTAAGTACAGTAGCTGTTAGACAAAGGGATTGAGAACACACACACACACAACTTATTTTTGTAACTTTTGCCATTATTCCTATCTGTAATATTGTACTCACAAAGATCATTTCTTAGAAGTGGGAACACGGCAATATCGCAAAAAAAAGTCAGATGGGGCAAGACACATAAGCAGGCATACAATGGTACAGGTTTTAACAAACTCCAAGGTTACCCAAACTTAATTGAATGGGAGGACAAAGTACAATTTACCTCTGCAATGAGGGATTATTATCATTGTAATGAACAAATAAAGTCTTTTGTGTTTCTTACCATCAAAAGAATCACACTCTAGGATTTGAACCAGCAATTTAGTAAAACATTTAGTAAAGTTACTTTACTCTTTACTTAAACTCTTAATTCAGTCTGTCTCACCAACTTTCCAACAGCTCCTCTCCCCATTCTTGTTGTCTCTCCCCCCTTTCTGTCTCTCCTTCTCATCCCTCACTTCCATGTCTTCACCTCCTCTCTTTCTTCCCCTCATCTCTCGCTCTTTCTCTCCCTCTCTCTGTGGGTGCCAACCAGAAGTTGCCATAGAGACCAAGATGGGTTCCAACGTTACCATGGAAACTGTGGGCTGCAGCAGCAGCGGCAGCATCAGACTTTCTCTCTCTCTCTCTCTCTCTCTCTCTCCTCTCTCTCTCTCTCACACACACACACACATACACACACTAAGGGATGACACTGATCAGTATTGTACCAAGAATATCCACAGCACAGAGTCCTAATTACTACTCTTCAGTCAGTATCCAGACTTCCTATTGTGTTTCAAAGTGTGCACATGTGTACACCAATGTGTGTGTGTGTGTGT